ACCACCATAAAAGGATGCTTGCACAAAGAGTAGCGCTTTGCACACTGACACACTCTTCCTCACTGCTGGATCATCTCCTTGCTCCAATGATTTGTCCTCTTGTGATGATACTGTCCTCGTCTGCTCTGTCTCCCATGCGGCCTCCTTACCGCCCATAAATCCCCCTGGGAAATGTGAGCCAAGACTGTATACGCAGTGGGAACACCCCTTCAGCTCCGGACTATTCCAGGCCGTGCTACACTTATTATGGTCTTCATGGACCGCCACATCTATCCCTCTCATATAGCCACATAGGGGGGAAAGAAGGGAAGCCTAGTAGTGATGCATTTTAGTAAGGGGAGTGCATGTATTGTGACTGTGAAGAGTCCCCCTCTTGAAAGGTGAAAGGTTAAAATGCTTTGTGGAGGCTGATAACATGATATAGAAGCAGTGGAATAAGCCATATTTGGATGATAAAGATGATGGTTAAAGTGGATTATGCTGCTATTATGAGTTATTTATGCTCAAAAGACATTCTGGGTGGAATATCACTTTAATTGGTGACAGCGCTTCATCAGATCCTCACACTGTGTTTTGGCCTGGTCGTGTTATGCATGATATGATTTGTTTATGATGTCTGTGAAGGAGTCATATTACACACTCATACAGTCATATTGCTCACCACATGACTGCTATGCCACCCCTGTGAGAATTTGACACCTCCATCTAGTGGTGGATTGTGGGAGCGCACAGTTTCCAACACAGTGAATCCCAAATGTAAGTTGTAATAGTTAGTGGCTGCTGGTTTTGTCCCAAACATAAGCCGCGACATCTCTGAGTGAATAATGTGCTTCTTTGTGACATGAAATTGATCTCATAGTGGTCCACACATGATGGATTTAACACACACACACACTCACACACACACACACACACACACACACACACACACACACACACAAGGATACACATGTAAACATAAAGTCATTCTCTGCAAAGCATGCTGCTGTCCCCATGGCAACTGTTGCAAAATAGTTTTCTTTGAAGCCGTCTCCCTCACTCTCACACACTCTTTGTTTTTATCTCTCTCTTGTTCACTCGTTCTTTGAAATCACAAAGGCGTCTAAAGACACAGCTTACAGGAGATCATAGAAAAACAACAAACTTGACCTTTGTAACCTATTGTGGGGATTACGTTGCAGAACTCTTTCATACTGCAATCGACCTGTTATTGCACCTTTAATAGGAACGACGTGGTGAAGAGGAGGGGCAAAGGGGAGGCAAGGAGGATGCAGTTTACCAGTGTTGGAACAAGGCCCAGAGCTTATCAGAGGCTAATGCCGCCGCCGCTGTCGCTTTGGAAAACCCTGCTCCTGCCAGAATGCTCTCTTCTGCCTAACAGCAGCGTGCCTCACGGTTGCCTACTTTTTCCTCACCTACCCCCCCATTGGTTGAAACTACAAAAGGGAGATCTCCTGCAAGTGACATCATTACTCCCTCTTCAGTCAGACAACATATGTCATGACCACATGGTAGCCCTCCACTCAATAGAAGCACTGTAATTTCTTTCCTCCTCTATGTGAGCGATATTTGTTATGCACGGTGTTTTTATTGCCACTTTTTAAATCACATTATTCAATCGCGACAGATTGGGTTGAGTGCATAGAAGGGTTGAGGAAACAAGTGTTGCCAGTTCCAGCTCTTGACAGGCCAACCAGGAAACGAACCGTGGACCAAATGTTCTGGATTGTTTCTTAGCAAGAACATTTCTTGTGACAATATGCTGCCCCCAAGCAAAACAATTCCCTACAATCCTCACATGAAGCTTCATTTTGTGCTCGTCTAAAGCCCGGTCACTGTGCTGGAGAACATGACAATGAGGGCTGATTCTCTCCCGAGGACTCTCCGTGAACGAGTGCTTTTGTCAATACAGTGAGTTGATTAAGGGATTCAGTGGCGTTTAGCAAGTATGCCTGTATGTCTGTCTCATTCGAGGTGAGGCCTTGATTCTCCAATGTGGAATGTATTGCATTAGTGCAACAGAGGAATGGAGTATGTATTGGAAAAGTACCCTTCAGCCACGAGGCCTGAGTTTGAGTTCACAATGATAAAGTGTCATTGAGACACTGTTTCATTGCCACATGGCAGAGCCGTATAAAGAGAGAGTCATGGGAAGTTCAAAATGCTTGATTGTCACGTGATTCAGGTAGACTTCAGATAGTTCCAGGAAGTACTTGGCGGGCAATTTGCATGTGTAGATATTGGTAGAAATCTGTTCGAACAGAGAGACAGAATTTCGATTTTTTATTAATCGGTAAGAAATAAATGAATTGATTTACAATGTTCATATAGAGCAACGACATATGTATTTAGATGCATCAAATTTGCTAATATTTGAGAAGTTCTCTTGTTTAACGGAACAGATGGAGATTTAGTGGCATCTAGTGGTGAGTTTGTAGATTGCAAGCAACAACATCCCCTCCGTTCACTCCTCCCTTACGGCGGCCCTCTGGTGGGGATAGGTATCTTTAGGATTTGATTACCTAAAGGAGCTACTCTTATCATAATCATAATAATTTAACAATAAAACCAGATCAAAATAATGAATCACCACACCCGTTCTGTGATTCTGGTAAAACATAAAAAAAGACAATCGTAATCCCAGACCCGTGGGAGATACTCGGGTTCTTCTGGTCAGCCGACAAGACAGCCATCATTTAATCAATAGACTGACGACTCCATAATTACTGTTGCTACTTTTTCTGTAACTGCAATACACGACAGTCCCCATTGTTAATGGGCAAATGAAAAACATTTCTTCTCATCATTTAATTCTGGAAACACTTGAAAATCAATTGAAAAAAAACGAAACAATAAAAGAACCACTCAATTTGCCTTGTAACGGCTTATAGGAGATGATGAGACATTAGGATCTAATCAGCGCAGATGCTCAGTTCAACAGATTCAAGTGCAACCACACAAGCACAAGCACAAGCACACACACACACACACACGCACTCACACACACACACACACACACACACACACAAACAACCAGAGGCCACAATTTCCCAAATTGTCCAACGTGGCCGCACCCTTCACTAATGTGTGGCACTGTGAGCCACAGCTGGCCTCCTGTGGTCAGACTGCAGGGTGCTCTCATACACTCGTGAAGAATTAATGAGTTTGAGTGTGTGTGTGTGTGTGTGTATGTGTGTGTGTGTGTTTTACCCATCTTGTGGGGACAAAAATCTGATTACACAGTCACATTGAGGGGACAAAATGGGGATAATTCCACATCGTCATAGCGTAAATCATCACATTATTTTAGACTGATTTGGTTTAAGGGTTAGACTCAGGATAAATGTAGGTTTAGGTTGGGGTTATAGTTCGGATTACGATTAGGATTAGTAGCGTTTATATTTAAGGTTAGGGTAAGTCTCCATGTACCACAACTGTGTCATCTTTTAAAAAGAAGCTTAAGACCTACCCGTTCTTTCAGGATATCTAGTGCCTCCCTCTCTGTCTATTTTTTATATGTATTTAATAATGTAGTAATGTGTGTGAAGCAAATTGAGCTAATTGTATGAAATGTACAGGACAGATACTGATTGCTTATGTTGCAGCAATAAATTGCACTCTAGGAACCAGTTAGATGCTACGTACGTGACATGAAAGGGTCAAGCGGCAGCCAGAGTTAATACACTTTATATATATATATAAAAGATGCTTTTCATTCTCTGTCTCCGGATAGAATTTAGAGTTAAAGACCCGGTTGGATAAATGTCAGGCGCTGAATTCTTGGAGGATTAAGTCTTAGCATTCGAAGAAGCTCCGCAATTTGTGACATTTTTTTTCAGCTCAGATTGCTAATCTAATAACGGCGAGAGGACAAGCAGTGTAGCTGTGTGGACCCACATACGTGAGAGCCATATGTTGTCATCGTGGAAGTCGTTGCCCCGGAGATTTATTGGATGATTGTGTGAAGATTTATTTGGCTGAGTTTGAACCTGACATCTCTTTTGTTTTAATGTCATGTAAAATGCCAGAACCAATACTTTAACATTAGTAGAGGTGAGACACTTACAGCTCTGCTATTGTAAACGTATTCAACCATCATCCAGAGAAAGATGTTACTATCATAGAAGTATGATTAGGGATGAACCCAATGCAGTGACTTAACCTGATGGTGAACGAAGAGGTAATGTCTGACTTTTCAGCAGTCGGTGTCTGAGTCATTGGAACATACAGAAAACAGCAGTGAGTCCTGACTTCTTTGTCTTTCTGCTGTAATTGCGTTACTCTGCGTGGTCTCGACAGATATGGCAGCTGTGTTACACAGTCCCATGACTGCTCAACGGGGAAGGGAACCGCATCAGCATAAAGACACGTCGTTGTGCTGCCAGTGGGTCTAGTTTAGGTAAAGAAAGAAAGGGAATGTCATCTTGTGGAGAATAGACAATGTTATGATATTCTTTTTCCAACCAAGCATCTTCCAGCTTCTCTCCCTTTATTTTATGAGACCACCATAACGTTAAATAGCAGCTGAAGTCTGGGAATGCAGACCCATTACCTCCGTTTAATTGTCATTGTCACTGTTGTTGTGTTTTATGTTCATATATATATATATATATATATACTTTTGTATATATAGTTATATTTATATTTGTACATAGTCTTTAAATGTCTATGCTCACCTCTGTTCTTCTTTATTGTCCTTGTTTTATTTGTAATTTCTGTGTATGTAAATTGAGAGCAACATAAAAACCGGAGTCAAATTCCCTGTATGTGTTTGCATGCATGGCCAATAAAGCTTAAAATAAACAAGAAGAAATTCATATTTAATACCTTTAACGTTAACACACTACCCTCTATGTCTTATTTACATATGGTACGTGACATGTGACGGTGTGGTATTTCTTTGTGACAGTGGAGAGATGAAGTGAGGAGTGGCCAAGTGGTGAAAGGGTTTGTGGCTATAAAAGAGTGTTCTTTCGATGTGCTTGGCCACAAGCCGACTGATTCACCTCAACTACGCCACGGCCTGCAGCCTGCAGCCTGCTCCTGTGTGCACCTGAGGACCAAAGACGAGAAAAGGTAACTTCTGGTCTCAAATCTTTATACAAAATGGTTCATATTCCTGTGCAATTAAAAACCAGAAGGGTTGTTTGCATCCAAGTCTAGAAGAATCATTAGTGCTCAAGGAAAAGAATGCATTGTGGGCTAGTGTCCTGCTGTAGAGTAACAGATGTGCAATGGTGCATTAAATGAGTCAGAGGATGTATCTAAATAAGAGAATTGTATATGTATAGATTGTCAGTTTGATTACTGTCAGTTGATCGGTAGTGTTGACAAGGCTATTATGTGATTTATTACACTTTTAGATCATTAACAAACTGTTTATTTCTGCACTGAGTCGTGTTTCTAGGTAATAACAAACATTAAAAAGCAGAATGAAGGTAGATGGATCATTTTGTAACAGTAATTGAATTTGCAGTCACAAGAACAGCTATAAATGATTGCTCATTGTTACTGCACATTCCTCTCTAAGTGCACATAAGTCATTGATAAAACCCTGAATCAATATGCCATTATGTGTCTGCATGACTCAGGATGTTTTCTGCGATCATCATTCAATTAGTGCATCTCATGGCATCCAGTCAGCTTCAGTTAACAATGTATATCTATACGGAGACGGACTATCATCCAGTGCTCTGCACCAGTGCTGATACTTTGACATCTTGAAATGCTGTAGAGTCCTCTGGTGGTCACCGAAAGAACTATTTCCTCTCATCAGGTCATTAAAGCTCAGTCTGACTGCTCTGCATCTTATAAAGAGATTTATTTTAGCTTTAGTTTGGTATAGGGGTTTGTTTCCATAGCATGTTATTTCAATTTTCCCAAAAGATCTATTTTGGTTTTGTTCTGTTTTTAGTTTTCCGTGTCTGTTAGTCCTCTGATATAAAAAAGAAAGCTGTAAAATAAATAAAAGTGCCCTTGATCTTGTTCTGGCAGGCAGCATGGATGTAAGTACCTCATCAAATTCTCAGATCTCTGCACCGGTAAGAATGAAACAAATCACTGCAGTTCATTTCTCCACATTTTCCACCTAAATATGAACGCTTGAATTTTTTGCTTGTGTCAAACGGCAATGTTTGCAACTGCAAGTTGGTGTCCTCCATCCTGTCCACTCTCTCTCTTCCTTATATCTCTGTTCTGGCCCCTGACCCTGACCCTCCTCTCTCTCCGTCCTCCTCCCCCTCGTTCTCTTCGCCTCCCTCCCAGCACGCTGACGCTCTGTGTGGCAGCTGCCCGTCCTCTGGTTCTGCCCCACAGGCTAACAGCATTTGGCCGAGCCTGCCGCAGTCTGGAGCAGCATGGCCGGGACAGCCCACCCAGCCTGCACCGTGCTGGACCGGCCAGCCAAACACACCCTGCTGGACTGGGACACAACCAGCTCCGGTCCCTGTCAGTGCTCCAATTTCGTTTCCGGCTCAAAATCTAACGCCAGCCCCCGCACCTGCCACAACCGTAGTCCAAGCTCCAGCTCAAGTTGCAGCACCGGCTCCGGTGCAGCCCTGCTGGCCAGGCACCCAGTGCCAGCCTCCCCAGTACCAGTCTCCCCAGTACCAGCCTCCTCAGTACCAGCCAACCCAGTACCAGCCTCCTCAGTACCAGCCTCCTCAGTACCAGCCAACCCAGTACCAGCCTCCTCAGTACCAGCCTCCTCAGTACCAGCCTCCCCAGCCACCAGCTCCAATTCAAGTACAAGTTCCTGCTCAAGTTCCAGCTCCAACTCCGACTCCAGTCCCAGTCCCGGCACCTGCTCCTTCTACCGGCATCCGCCCAAATGTGTGGCCTGCCCACCCTAGCTGGCCTTATAACCCGGGACAGTCAGGTTGGCCTGGACAGAACCCAGCTATCATGCCTCCACACTGGCTTCCACCCACATCTGGACCTCTTGTGAGTCAAATCTGACTTGCATGCTTCTTACGGTCTTCTTTGCTTGTACAGGAAAGCCAGAGACTTAAAGAGAAGGATAAATACAAAGATACTGAAAGTTATACACGTTTGATCATCGGCCGCTTTATCTTTCAGGTTGCGTTAATGTTTTTCTCTCACTGTTGCTGTTTAGAGTGTGCCATACAACTTGAACCTGGCCCGAGGGGTCTACGACAAGATGATGATGACCATCCTGGGCCATGTCAAACCCAACGCTAAAATGTAGGCTTAATTAAGAACCGTTCTTTTTTTATTTTCATGTTCTATTAAGTTCACATTGTTTATAATTCAGCAGTGATTCTACCCAGCTGATGAAGGACAGTACACGATTTGTCAATGCCAGTCTGACGAGCTTCGATCGTCCCCAGGTTCACAGTGAACTTCCTGAGAGGCAGCGACATTGCCTTTCACATCAACCCCCGCTTCAGTGAGGGGGGCAAGCAGGTGCTGGTCCGTAACCACAAAGTGGGCGAGCACTGGGGCCCAGAGGAGAGGGACCTGAAGGGGCCCTTCCCCTTCGCTCTTGGGAGCCCATTTGAGGTGAGTGTAAGAAAGAGGAATCAGACCGGGCAGACGATTGAAAAGCAGTGCTTGAAGCTGCTGTGTGTGGCGTATTAACGTCAATAAATCATTATTCATTTGGAGTCATATGTTTTCTGTCAAGTGTCAGTCTCTGCTATTAATGCACTATTGCTTTCTTTTTTAACAATACATATAAATAACATACTCACAAGCTGCTAATTGTTTTAACTACAGTCTTATTTGTTTGTTGTGGTAAGACGTTTATGTTGATGTTTCAAAATGCTACACATGGTGACTGACTCTAAGTCACTTTCTCATGGTTAAGGCGAACATTTGGAAAAGATGGAAAGGGTTGGAAAGTCGTTTGTGCAGGCGGGTCCTAGGTAAGGGAACTGCTGCACTGCAGGAGGACTCCTGGAGGTCAGTGGGGGTGTCGTGTTGCTCATTAACATCAATAACATCAGTTATATACTTCACAGGCATCGCCAAGAGGTTGCTAATCTGAAGAGCTAATTCTGTCTGCCTCTGTGTCACCAATAACAACTAGGTTCATAGACTTTCCCTTCAACCTTTGTATTTATGAATAAGTAGGGTTTCATTTTGTACTGACATTAGATCATCCTTATTGTACGATACATCTTTATTCTTTTTCTGGGCTCCAGTTAGAAGATTTGGCCCTGAAGGACTCTACCAACATGAAATCATGATAAAATATTGTTGTTGTTTTTCTTTTCTAAATGTGCGCTGCATGTAAAGCTACTTCACAGTCTCGATGGAGGTAGGACATCACTTGCGTTGTGCTCTGTTCCAGATGAAGATCCTGTGCACTCAGGAGACGTTCAGGGTGGCAGTGAACAACTTCCCGCTGTTTGAGTTCCGACACCGAGTCAGAGAGCTCAACCAGATCGACAGAATCAACATCCTGCATGACGTCGTCCTCACCTGCGTCAATGTGGAGACACTTCCATAGGAAGCCAATATTAATCACACAGAGACACAGACGTGTATGAGTGTTGTAAATGCATATGAGCAGGACTGCATGCAAAGACACATGAAGACAGACACAATCACACACATATACATCTGTAGGCTGCAGGAACTAAACTTTCCAGTTCATCATGATGCTAATAGATCGAACAAATGTGTCAATATGCCATGTAATAATAATTATGACATGAGCTGAGCTCATTCATCGATATGCTAATTACGCTACCACATAGCTAAACATTTAATACACACGAAGCTTCCTTCTTCACCATGTGGATGCTACCGCTGCTGTGAACAATATCTTCTATATTATTAAATTGCTACTAACTGAGAATTAAACGTGCTAATTTTGCCACACAAAATACAAAACAATGAGGTCTGTTAGTCCTCTGAGGTTCTGTTAACTGCAGTTATTCTTAAATAAATAAAGTTATCACATATCTGGTCCAATGTTTTCATTGTTTATTTTTTGAAGAGAGTGTAAAAAGAACAGTGCAACAGTTTGAGGAAAAATCTCTTCCAGAGAAATAGAAAATCCCAGTTGAACATTAAAATCAACACGAGGAAAACGTACAGAAGTAACATTGAAAAAAGACTAGTTATGATACACATAAAGGAAAGAGTTACAGTACTCTGCAATTAGGGAGACACCATTGGCACAAAAATATGAATCACACAGCCTTAACAAAAGCCTCTTCCCAAGTCCGTCATCTGACACTTACCTCATACCTCAATACAACCATTTCTATCCTCACACCTTAACTCCACTTCCTCTAACCTCCCACTTAAACACACTTAAACGTATCCATCTCTAGATTCCAGAACCAGATTTAACCCATGAGCAGTAAGGCCGAAGGATGCCGACGTCACTTTGGTCTGTAGCAAAACGTCTCAATAGCTGGCCAGAGTGTCACAATCAGATTGTATTACAAAGTATTAAATTGTATTAAAAATTGCAGCAAAACAATCATGGAATGTACTTGTTCCTGTTCCCCAGAGGATAAACATTTTATATGTATCTAGTTCAGTTGGCCTGTAGAACATAAATTTGTGCAAACAAATTGCTGAGCATATTCATATCACCCAAGAGCATAAACCTTTTAGATTTGAATAGCTTCATGTGACTTGCTGTAACACCACCCAAAGGACATATTTAACATCTTCATTCTTAGAGCCGTACTACTGGCAAGGATCCGATACATATTTTGCATTCCTCTTGGTGTAAGTCCATCATTTGTCCCTCTGGTGTCTCCCTTCATAACAATTATGATCCTATACATTCATGAAAGTTGATTTTAAAAAGGTAGAAAACAGATAAAGAAGAGCTATGGCAACATGGGAAATAAGGCAACCTCTGGTTTTTTTTTTCGGACATAATACTCATTCATTTCTTTCACATCTCATCTGCATTCAGTCCGTGAATAAAGTTCCAAAAGATCTCTGTGCAAATAACAAAGTGTGCCATTCACAGTGCTGCTGTGTGTGCGTGCGTCAGGCTCCCACTAGCGTATGTGTGTACATACGCGTGGGCAAAGAAAATCAGTCCACGTCCTCACGTCTTGTTATCTAGTCTCCTCTCCACAGACTTCAGCAGGAGCTCAGCGTACTGCTCCAGCAGAGCCAGGGCCTTGTCTCCTTCACCTCCGACCCCTTGGTCCACTCGGGGCCATTCGCACTGTGAGGTGGGGTGAGGCAGAGAGTCCAGCTCAGCCTTCACCGTTAACAGGGCCTCGGACAGGATGCTCCTCATATCTCGCTGATCTTCACCAAGCTGTTGGTCGCTTTGTAGGACCTGGTTTTATGAAGTATATGTGGGAAAACAGATGAGGAAGCTGTCAATGTCATTCTCTGTTTGATCTGTTCATCAGATTATAGATAAAATTCCATGTGTGAAATAAGAGAATACAAATTCAAAATAAAATAGTGCAACATGATTTTGCTGGATGACAGAAATTAATTTAAAATTATTTTGATAATCGGTTGATTTTTCAAGCAAAAAAATTTTATTTTCTGGGTCCAGACTTTGTTTGGTTTTTTTAGTCGGACAAACGAGGACATTTGAAGACGTTACCTTGGACTTTTGTAACATGGGATGGTTATCTTTCCCCAGAGAAATAACAGCAGTACATTCCCACATTTGAGAAGCCGGAACAAGCAAACGTTTCTCATTTTTGCTTAAAACAACAACTCAAACACACAATGGATTATCAAAGTATTTGCAGCTTTAGGTCGATCGCCTCCATTAATGGACTTTCAGCCAGAGAGACAAATGGTGCATTAAATTAAGATGTAAAATGACAGAAATAACAACGGCAAAGTCTATTATACAGTATATATGGAACCTGAGAGAATCTCACATAATTCCTATCTGTTAATGCTCCCACTCACATATCACACACACTTACTGACCGTAGAGTAGAGCGCGGCAGTTTTCCTCAGACTCTTGTGAAGCTCCGTAACAGCCTGCCTACAAGTTTCCAAGGTGATGGAGAGATCTGCAGAGAGAGAGAGAGAGGGAAGAGTTCTTTCAAGTACAGCGCTGCATGTGGCAAACCAGAGTGTTCACAAAGGCGCACATACTGTACAGTGTCTGCACACTAACACACAGTTATCGAGCGAAGTAGGCGCACAGTAAATGTTGAGCAAAAGGTTGAAAAACATCAAACAACAAGAGAAAAAACTTGGTTGCAGAAGAGAAACTATAGAAAGAAAAGGGCTGCTGCACAAAGCCAGAGAGCAGGAGCTGCGTGAGCTGCGGAACGGAGGAAAAAATGATTTCACAGTTTACATCCTCCGGCAAAACACAGTTGTAGGTACAAATGTGGACTGGATATCACTTAATGGCATTCATGGTTTCTGTGTTCTCAAATTGAAATGAAATGAAATCTGTTGTCTTTGTGAGGCAGTTGTCATCCACAGAACAGCAGGAACAGAAGCGTGAAGAACAGGATGAAGAAGTTATTTTAAGCTTCATCTCAGCATTCGAACTCTATTAGACACTTTTATTTACTGAGCAAAGTGAGCAATGTGAGGAAAACAACCTGCAGAGGCTGCATACGTCACAGCATAATGTGAGGCAATTATTATTTATCATCAAAAGGGAGCATTGATGTGAGCAAATTCCACTACTATCTTTCTATTAGATGATGAGGTACAAAAAGTTGTGCAAAAGAAAAGGGTCTATTTTTATAGTAATGAGCGGTTTAGATTTTGAGAGAAGTATTCAAGTGGAATATCGAGCCTGCCGCACAAAATCTTTGGTCGGTTTTCTAACAAATCAACCAAAAGAGCAGACTTTAAAACTGTGGACTTCACCCAGGTCATCACAGTGGGAGAGCTCAGAGACAGACGGGGGAACGAGAGACAGACATGCAGGTTGACAGACGGGCAGGGAGGCAGAGGGCGAGCAGTATGAAGAGATGCAGTGATAGAGAGGAGGAACGGTAGATAAGAGAGTTCTGGGGAGGCAGACCTGGCTGGGGATCAGCGCTGGATGTGCGGGTCTGTTCGGGCACCAGAGGGCACTCTTTGGCTCCAGACGCCTGTAATGGCTCCTTGGCACTGGGAAGATATGTGTGTAAGTTATAAAAAAACGTCTCAAACAACAAAATGTTAAGAAGTGGTTTAAAAAAAAAATAGTACCTCTCTGAAAACGAGTCTCTCTTCTGCCTCACTGGTAGTGAACTCGGCAAAGAAGGATCCAGAGACCGATGCCTGCCGAGTGCTGAAGACAACAAGATGAACACAAAATCACACACTGCTTTTTAGTTCTTTCCTAATGCGCTCATGTGTGACGTCTACAGCGCATGGCTGGCTGTCTCACCTCTGCTTCCTGGAGTAGGCTTGACGTCCATGGTGGGAGGAGAAGACCCCGCCGGGTGTCTGCTGGGACAACTTAAGCTCGGCATCATATCCATGCAGAGGCTGCGGCGAGGGCTGAGAGGCTGCTTGGGAAGTGGGATGCGGGAGGGCGGGATGTTCTGGGGGAATGGAGAGGGTGAAACTGCAGCTGTAGGATGGGGAGGAGTTGGGGAGGGACTGTTTGGTACAGGACATGATGAGAGGGATGACGCTGATGAGACGGCAGAGGGAAAAGTGGGGACGGGAGACAAGGTGAGAAGGGGAGGTTCAACCTGCAGCTCCCCTAATGACCTCCTGCCCCCGGGGAAGAGGGGGGAGCAAGGCGGAGTGGCCAGCTGGACAACGTCTCCGAGCGAGGTGGAGCGGCTGCTTTTGGCCATGGAGCTGGCAGTGGGGTTCATGTAGGAGTGAGGCCGGAGTTTGGGGCTCTCCCAGGGCAGTGGGGAATCGGGGGACTCGGGGGATCCATTGGAGGGTGAAGAAAAGGTGAAGGCAGGATTGGGAGGACCGTGATCCAGGGAAAGATGCTGAGGTCTCTTGCGCAACTCCCTTCGGTCACTAGAGGGCACAGGGGAGTGAAGAGCTGGAGAAAAATGTGGAAGTGGAGATTTGTTTGAGAAACAGAGGAAAATGTAATCATGTTGAGAATTGTTAGGAATGACTTTTAGTTTTACATCATATAAATGTATTATTGCCAATTCCAGGTAATTATTTAAAGTCTGAGCAACTTATTTTGAATATTTCACAGAAGATCCCCATGCAAATTATGTTTAAACACACTCTTGTGGCAGAATCTCACAATGTCTACCTAGCTCATCGAATAACTGGACCTAAATATTACAGAAATGGCACATAAATAGTAATAAACTGATAAAATGATGATGAAATGTACATTCTGAGGCCAGGTTCTGGGCAGAGTGCGATTTCTGCAAACATGTCGCTCTGTCCAGCAGCGGCGATGCTTTGGGTGGCGGGTTGGACATCCTCCACAGGTTGGTCCGTGTCGTCTTTTTCTTCTTCAGGGTACCACAGTCTCTGTCTGGAGCGTCTAGCCTGCCGAGAGGCAACACAGCAGCTTTAAGATCACTTCGGACACAATAGTGTAAGAACAAGACAAAGTAAATATCAGTTGTTATGATTTATGTTTCCTTCGTGTCTGTGCTACATGTCGGTTACATTATCATGACACTGTAAATGTGCTGGTTGTAAACAGAGTAAACTAAATAACCTAGTGTGACCTCATGAACCTCCTCTTTGTCAAGTATGTATTATTTTGCATTCTTTGCATTCTATTCATTTTGGAATCACATATTTATGCCAACAGAGAACCTTTTTGATCTTTTGCATTTATGATTCATTAATCCAAGTCTGCCAAAGCAGCACTTGTCTTAAAATAAACCCCATTCAGCTCCTAGTCTGTGTATTCTTCTTACTTTGGCCCCTCGATCCTGCCAGGGGACACCAGGGTCTTGTCCTCCGTGTTTCTGCTCTGGTTATCTTCCATCAAGGGCCGTACTTTTGACACAGGGGGCTTAGCCGAGTGGCTGCCTTGTTCCTTTCCATGCACTTTGGCAAAAAG